GGCCCGAACCCGGCTCCCCTGCATCGGCAGGCGGACTCTCAACCACTGCGCCACCAGGGAAGCCCGTTTTTTAATGAAAAAAAAAAAAAAAAAATTTTTTTTTTTGGCTGTTCTGTGCGGCTTGTGGGATCTTAGTTCCCCGACCAGGGATCGAACCTGGGCCCGCAGCAGTGAAAGCACGGAGGCCTAACCACTGGACCGCCAGGGAATTCCCCGTCCACGATTTTTGGCCCTTGCAGCCTCCCTTCTATCCACAGGCACCTTAAAGATGTGATCCTACTGACAGCTATTGTGCAGGTGCTCAGCTGCTTCTCCCTCTACATCTGGTCCTTCTGGCTTCTGGTACGTGGGTCGTGGGGCTCCCAACGAGGAGCTGGGGCATCTACCCCTTCTCTTCTTTCATTTCCTGCACCTGGCTTCAAGCTGCCTTTTCTCTCCTAGGCGCCGGGCAGAGCCCTTTACCTCCTGTGGGTCAATGTACTGGGCCCTTGGTTTACAGCAGACAGTGGCACCCCAGCACCAGAGCACAACGAGAAACGGCAGCGCCGACAGGAGCGGCGGCAGATGAAGCGGTTATAGCCACTGACGTTGTGGCTACAGGTTTCTGGGCCCCGGGTGGCTCTATCAGGCTACATGGCCCCCATGCCAGGAGCAGTGAGGGCCTAGTCCAAGGGCCAAAGGCAGTCTAAGGTATAGGATTGGTAAATAAATGGCTTACAATGTGGATGATGGCTGTGTGGGTGATAGAGATAAGGCAGGAACAGCCAGTCCTTTGGTATTTTCCTTCTGCTACAGGCATAGCGTGGTGGGTACTTTGAAAGAAGAAAAAGGCTCTTGGATTGGCTAGGAAAACTTTATTATGCTCCACGTGTCCAGGGAGCTCATACATGCACACGCACACTCACACAGGCACACACAGCTAATACTGCTCACAGCACTGGCCACGGGCACAGAGTGGCCCTCGAGTTGAGAAGAGGCCCAGAATTGTGCTCTGGTCCCTCCTCACCATAGTCTCCTGCACTGCAGGCTGGGGCCCAGATAGATAGATAGGTATCGTGGAGGCAGCACCTTCACACTTCCAGGCCAGGACCCTTGCTCAGTCCTAGCGCCTGTACCAGATCCTCTCCGAGCCCGCTCTTCAACGTCCGTCTCACTGCAAGGACAGAGTAGGGTTGGAGAGGGTTGATGGAGTTACGGTGGGCAGTGGGTGTTTGGGGAATACTCACAAGACTTGCGGTTGCCACGGGAACGCTTGCGTTCCCGAGCAGCTGAGGCACGAGGACTGCTCTTGGTCACTGACTGCACCAGCAGGTCCATGATCTCATCTGAAGTGTCACTGGGTAAACTGGAGCCTGGAGGTTCTTCTGGGGGTACAGTGCAGGGCCCCACTGCTGTGGGCATGACTGGGGAGCTGCTCTGGACCATGCCTGAGGGAGCCAGATAGGGAGGTGAGGCCAAAGCAGCCCCAGAGCCCACTGCCCCCAGTGGCCGTAGGTCCCACCTCTGCTGCGGCGGCCATGTGTGGTGTCCTCAGGCTTGCTGGCCAGCAGACTCTTCATGCTGGCGTGACTGTCGGCATCACCCTCTCCTGGCCCACTGCTCACAGCCACTGGGATAGATGGGTTGCTGGGGGTTTCCCCAGCCGCCACACCTGAGAACTTCTCTGTCTGGAGAGAGGAAAGGGGTGGGTTGGGAGTAGAGGAAGAAACCATGGGGGTGGCAGTCAAGACCCGGAAGGGACACCCACCTCGGTGATCATGCGTCCCCTGGTCTTGTTGCGCTCACGGTATGTGGCCCGCTTCTGCTGCTGCTGCAGCACCCGGTCCCGGCAAGTCCTATACTCCAGTGCGAACTCCCGCAGCGTGTGGCAGAACTGCATGACGCGCGCCTCACGGGCTGCCTCCGCTGTGTACCCCAGGTACAGCAGGAAGGCGTGGAACCTAGCCAGGTTGGGGTGGGGAGGAGTGGTGAGTCCTGCTTGGGGTTTGAGGGATGGTGGTGGCAGTCCTACGTCTCTCTGGCCCACGCCCCCACCTGTTGCAGACACGGCGGTGCACGACCCTCAGCATGGCAACACGGCGGGTACAGTGGGCCAGGAAGTGGGTGAGGCGGGCACGCAGGGCTGGAGCCAGCTCGTGCTTGGACAAGCTCCGCAGGCTCTCTTCGGCTGCCCGGCTCCGGCGCTCCAGCTGCCCCAGGTTCTCAGTCAGCTGCTCAAAGTCCACCTGGAAAAGCAGGGAGTACACATGCTGTCCCCCCACAGAAAGACACCACCTGAGCTGCCTCTGTGCTGGGCTGACTAGCCTGGGCCCTGAGGACACAGCCGAGATCCGGCCCCTGCCCTCCAAAAGCTCGTAGTCTGATGCAAGAGACAGACAAGTCCATTTGATGCAGTGGAGAACGGAGGTGGTTTCTTGGGATAAGTGGCAGCTAAACAGACCTAAAGACAGAGTAGGTGTAGCCATGCCAATAGAAGAAAGAGTTTCTGCCAGAGGACACAGCCCACGCGCATGCCTGTAGCCTAAGCAAGCCCTGGCCCAGCAGCCCACTTAGGGAGAGGGAGAGAAGCAGTGCTCCCTCATGCCATGGCCAGTCTTAGTCAAGCCTCTGGCAGGTGCTGACCTTGGCACAGCGGATCAGGGCAGGAATTTCTGAGTAGAGGTCAGAGGAATCAGGCCGGGTCTGGAGCACCAGGGAGCAGAGATGATGCAGCAGTGACTGTCGGCGCACCGTGTCTTTCACCTCTGACACCTTCTCCAGGTAGCTCAGCTCAAAGCCGCTGCTCTGAAAGGACCCCACCTGAGCCTGAGCCTGAGCCTGAGGCTGACTGGCTCCAGAGCCCCGGGCCCCACCCTCATGTGCTCTCAGCTCACCTGGGAGCCGTTGAGGAAGTTGCCCACAGCCAGCAGGGTGGCCAGGATGCAGTGGAAGGTGGCATTTTGCACCAGCTGTTGCATGCCCACTTTCAGGTCAAACAGTGGCTCTGCAATTTCCTGGTGTGGGAGACCAGGGACTCAGACTACGTGGTCATCATGCTCACCTGTCCCCACTGCCTGTCCCACCCCATGATCCAGGTACCCGCTCCATGCTGTCATAATCCAGCTTGAAGGCCCAGAGTTGTAGGCGGGCAGCCAGGCCCCTGATGGAAGCGAGAGTCATCAGGAAGTTCTCGGCTGGGCCCAGCGGTATGTCAGGATTGGCCAGCTGGGCCTCCTCGATCTTCTGCCGCTCCTCCTCTGTGGGCATCATGGTCAGTAGCTTCTGAGAATGCACCCACCAGCCCACATAGGCCACTCAGTGCTGGCCTGAGGCCTCAGGTATTGGTCTTGACTCCTCCCTAGGTCATCTGGGGCAGCCCCAGAATCTGGGGAAATGCCAAGCCCATGCCCACCACTGGAGGGACAGGAAATGCCCACTGACCAAAGGAGAGGGCCGGACTTGCTGCACCCTTAGCTGGGTATCCCTACCTCAATGCCATCCTTGCTGACAGCAAACTCATCAAAGTTGAGCAGGGCAGCCTTAATGACGTGCACAGGTGGCAGCGTGGTTAGGCCAATGTTGATGGCGTTGCTGCGCTTGGGGTCCAGCACGGTGGTCACTGTGCGGCGGCCCTCACCAGCTTTCTTTGAAATTGGGGCGAGGGCAGTGTAAGACTGGGAAAGGGTCTAACTGGGGCAACAATCTAAGAGGGCACACTAAGGCCCCACTCTGAATGGCTAAATGGTGGGATTACCCCACAACCAGGGATCTGGGATGTGTAAGGCCTTGGGATGGGCTTAGACGCTAGTTAGGGTTGGGCTGAATCCTTATTGAAGGACCTCAGACAAGTCGCTACTCCTTGCTTTGCCTCGGTTTCCCCATGTGGGAAATGAGTGGCAGCCCCAGCAGTTCAGACGCCTGAGCTCTGATTGCCTCCCCTCTCCCCTAGGGTTACCTTGCAGACGAGGGCGCGTTTACCTTGGAAGGCAGCACGTCCTTGGCACGGGACTCGAACAGGTGTTCTAGCCGGGCTGTATCCACCGAGACAGGCTCTAGTGAGGCCCACAGGGTGGGGCAGGGCCCAAAGCGGCTGCCAGAGCCTCCATGGACCCCAGCCAGCTTTAGCTCCCGCCAGAAGAGTTTTACTGTCTTCCTCTTGGTGGGAAGGGCTAGGCCATCAGGTGCTGAGCGGGGAAGACCGGCAGCTGGGGGTGGTGGTGGGAAGGAGCTTTTGATGGGTGGGGGTGGTGGTGGTGGAGGAGGTGGGGGGCCTCCCAGGAGTGGGGGTGGCGGGGGCGGGACCCCTTTCCCCGCCTCCACAGACTCCGTGTTCAGCACGTCCTGGTCTTCATCCTCCCCCAGGTCTGAGAAGTCCAGGTCCCCAATGCAGAGGGGGCCCCCCCGGGGGGGGGGGGGGGGGGGGCGGGACCCCTTTCCCCGCCTCCACAGACTCCGTGTTCAGCACGTCCTGGTCTTCATCCTCCCCCAGGTCTGAGAAGTCCAGGTCCCCAATGCAGAGGCTGGGTACGCTGGTAGGGAGCTCCCGGATGGGCTCAGCCTTGGGGCTTGGTGGGGCCAATGGCTCTTTGGGCTCTGGCTCGAGGCTGTGCCGAGTATGGAGCAGGATTTGAGGGGCAGCGCTCTGGGGTGTTCCGGGTGCAGGGGCTGGTTCTGGGGAGCCCCGTAATTCTTGGGTGTCTAGAAAAAGGGAAACAGCCGTCAGTGTCACGTCCTCTGTGGAGCAACAGGGCAACATGGGTGGATTCTGCCCACCCACCTGCTCACCTGGGTGTCCATCGATATCATCGGGCATGGCTCCAGCCAATGTCTCTGCCTGGCCCTGGGCCAGTGCAGCCCGCTTTTCTGTTTCTGCTGCTGCTACATTCTCCAGGAACCGGGCTCTGGGGGGAGGGACTTGTCAGTGAGGGTGTCTGACACACCCCAGCCCAGGGTGGTGCACATGCCTTGCTGGGCCCCTGGGCACTGCCCCTAATTGCAGGCACAGACACACAGGGAACAGTCCATGCGCTGAGCAGACCCGGGATCTGCCCCCCACCCCCACCCCAAGGCCAGCCCCTGTTCAGTCTTCCACATCTGGGGAGGGTCACTACCAACCCAGTATTCCCAGGTCAACATACGGGGAAAAGTTCTGCTTAACGTCTAACTTGCAACCTTGCTGCTGTTCATGTTCACTGTTCTGATTCTAGACAAGGATCCTTAGAGCAGGGGGAGGGGAAACCTGTCCCAATGGGCACACCAGGCTGTCCCTCCCTTGGCATGTCTAGCAGCTTCTGAGAGCTATGGCCTATGCCCAGAAAAGGGCCTGGTAAACGAAAGGCACTCAGTTTATGTTGAAGTAATAAAGGTGATCCCATCTCTTTTGTGGCCCCTCCAGCCTCTGTCGGCACTCAGTCTCTGTCCTTCCCTTAGATGGAGGCTGCTCCTCCACCTCCGCACCACACAGCACCCTAGATCCCCTCCCAGCCCTAATCCTGGGTTTAGGACACAGGAGAATTGGCTCCAGGTTGGGAGTCCACATCCTCATCACCGATCAAAGCTGTTAAGGTGTCACTGTTAAAGCACTGGGACCTCTATGACCCCAGTGAACTGTTTCCTAGTGCTTAGTCCTTGGGTAACTGAGGACACATAATAAGTCTGGGAGAGTCCCCCAGCTCTGGCTGAATCAGACATATGGGACCCCTGCTGGGGGAAGCAATGCTGAAGCCCTGAGCACATGGCAGGCCTGGCAGGCTGGCCTCTGTACTTACTCCAGCCTGGCCTGGCCAGTAGGGAACTGGGGGACAGATGGGCTTTCACGCGCCCTGGGTAGGGGGGAATGAGAGGAAGAAATGGTAATTGTGGTACGTGCTTCACCCCAAAGCCCAGTTGCTCACACCCACACAGAGCTGGGCAGTGATATCAGGGGTTTCTTCCCAGCCACAGTGGGAAGAGGAGGGAGAGGGGGAGGCATGATGTGAGGAAACTGGAAGTGGAGGGGAGAGACCGACATGACACAGGACAGGGTGCAGTAAAAGACAAAGAGCAAAACAGGAGAGTCAGAGACAGTGACAGAGAAAGACAGAAGGGGGTAGAGAGACAGATGACACTGACAAAACAGGCAGAATGCCAGAAAGAAGAGAAGCCGCAGGAGGAGGAGGTCCAGTCAGAGCCGAACCCCACCCCCCAGCAGTCACTTACCAAACAGGAGCAGTTTGGTGAAGTCTGGAAAGAAAGAGAAAGAAAGCATGCGTTTGGGCAGAGAAGTTTGGGCAGAGGAGGCGGAGGGCCCGTGGAGGGGCGCAGAGTGGAGGGACAGTTGGAGGAAAGACTCCCGGGACAGGCTCTATCTCCCTACTTACTTGTAGATGCTCCTCTCGCAGGAGCTGTTGGGTGAGGGCGTCACGGAGATGGTAGGAAAGAGGCTCAAGGTGGTATGGAGGCCAGAGACAGGGCCCACAGTGCTGGAGGTGGGGCCTGTAGGTGGGGCGGGGCCTACCGGGCTGGAGGTGGGGCCGGTCGGCAAGGCAGGGCTGGCGGAGGAGGAGGTGGAGACTACTGGTGAGGCGGGGCCTGTGGAGCTGGAGATGTGGACTGTCAGGAGGCAGGGCTCCTCCTGGTGGTTCCACCTCTCCGCCTCTGCCAAGGCAGTTCGTTCTTACCTAGGCTCCGGGGAGCGCACTTCTCGGCGGATCCTCTTGCCCTCGTCTGAGGAAGGCTTTCGGCGGGTGATGCGCCGCCCACCTGCGATGGCTTCTTCCATGTCCCCATCCTCCAACCGCAGGGCGCTCTAGGAGAGTTGAGCCCAGATGGGAGCGACTGAGGCCCAAGTAGGTGGGGTGGGGCACTGGAGAACGGCCTCCCTCCCTCCCCTCCTCTCTCCTGCCTTCGGGCCCTGACAGTCCAGCCCGCCCAGCCCACCTCATAGAGCATAAGCTGGGCGCGCAGGTCGACGTCAGTGCCCGCGGTGCCCAAGTGGCGCTGGACCAGTGCCTCCATGCCCTGCTGCTCCAGTGCATCCGTCACGTCGTAGAAGGAGTCCTGATCCGGGAGCGCTGCCAGAGTCTGGAGGGTGGGGATAGGACGGCAAGGCTAAAGCTGATGGAGACCAGAAGTCAAGAGCCTGAGGGGCCCAGAATGGCACTTGGTTCCCCCTTTGCTCCCCCTATATCCCACCTTGTTGATGAGGGTGACAGTGTACACCAGCAACTCGGGGTCAGCGCCATTCTTCTCCTCCAGGATGGACACCAAATTGGCCCATGGAAGAGCACCTGTCACCCAGATAGGGAGCAGTCATATGGGAACAAGTAGGAGAGAGGGCCCTGAGCAATGGAGGAGGGAGGGACAGTTTCTGACCTGTGGTGCTGGCCACAGAGTTGACTGCACGGATGAACAGTGGTGCGTTGCTCTCAGAGTACTCCACAAACACCAGCAGCAGCTTCAGGGCTGTCTTCACCACCAAGCGGGACTGGGGGGAAGGGGTCACCATACATGAGTGGGGCTTGGGCCAGACCTGTGCTGGCTCCTGGTGGGGAGGGGGAAGGGCTCCTGGGGCTGGACCCAGAAAGGAGAGTCTAGGCAGAAAGAGCCATCTCTAGGCCCAGATATTGAAGTGACTTTGAGGCTTAGAGGGGCCACAGACCCCCTCCATTCCAGACCACTTTGCAGAAGAGGAAACTGAGGCCCAGAGAGAGGCAGTGGGAAAAGGGTGCATGGCTGGGTGGAGGCTGGCACTTACCAGGCTGGCACACAGTGTGTACAGCCACTGCACGGTCTCACTATGGGCCACCACCCCCAGCATCCCATCCACAAAAAGCATCAGCTGGCCTAGTGCTGGGGACACAGGGACAAGAAGAGGTCAGTAAGGGGTCACTGAAGGCAGGGGTCATGGGGGAGGGGTGAGGCTGACCTCGGAGGATGTAGCTCTGGTAGTTGTGGTCGGCAGCAGCGCCCACATGGATTAGGCAACTCAGCCCCTCCGAGTGCACGAATTCAGGCACCAGGTCCTTGTCCTCCTGCGGGCACCATGGGGGAGTTTAGTGGGGGGAAGTTCAGCCTGGATGCTCACCCCCAGCCCACCTCTGGGCCTTACCTGGAAGATCTGCTTTAGTGAGAAGAGGGAGCGGCGGAGCTCAGGGCCACTGGAGCCATACAACTTTTCTGCAAGATGTAGGTGGGCATGGAAACCTCAAGGGGACACACCACAAGCCCCCCACCCCCTTCTACTGGGACGCAACCACAACCCCCCATCAAAGAATCTTCTAGTACTCTTGAACCCCCACCTCCTCCTCCACTCCCTGACTCTGGGCAAGCCCCACCGCAGTCTAGCAGCTGCCCTGGAAGAAGAGGTCAGGATAGGAATGGGAGGAGTCACACATCCCATCTCCCATCTGCTCTGTCTGCTGTCCAGCACAGGCCTGAAAGAAACGGAGACAACCGGGGCGGGG